ATGAGCCTTCTGAAATTGATTCTAAATTAGATTCTAATACGTTCTATTCATATCATATCATATACGATATTTTTTTTACGTTACATTATACATATATGTTCACAATATACGCGTAACATTGTATAGATTATTGTTATAAAGAGTAAAATATCATGTGATTCTCTCATGCATGTAACATGAATTTTTTGCGGATAAGAAGTATATCATGTTGCGCTGCTTAACAAAGTTTTCGATCCACTGACCTTATCAGCAACTTTTCATGATAATAAAATGTATGAGAATTTAATTGAAGTTCGAGAAGACTCGACGTCGACGATAGAATTATCAACGATTTATAATAATCACGATTCGCATAGTGGGAGATCGTTGCGGCGCGTGCGCACGAAAGAAAGAAACAAAAAAATGCTTGCGTAATTACTTATCTTATGAACTTAATGAATCAATAACTGAATGAATAGATATATGAATAGATCATTGCGTGGGTGCGCGTGAAATGCTCATACAGCTGGGGGAGAAAGACTTTTGTTGTCGATTTATCTCGTTTTAACGAATTTGCGTGCTATCGATATCGATGGTACATTATCGAGCACGAGCGAGAGGTCAACCATTACTTAAAAAATGTATAGTGATTATCATTTTTGGCAATAATATACATTTTATTTATAACACTACATAATTATAAATATTGTCATTGTAATGCTTTTGTATCGTTAATAATATTCGTATTATCATTTTATTATTTTACTGTCAGTATTGCCAGTACTGCTGCAGAATTAAAAAGTATTTCTAGTGCATATTACTTTTTTTCTCTTATATCGCTAATATTATTTCAATAGTTATTTTTCTAAATCATGTATTTCCTAAAATTATATTTACTATACTGCCGCAATATACGTATTTCTAATGAAATGTACAATATAATTGCCATAGTGATTGACTCGAACTTTGAACTATATTTTCGCCAATTTTCTTCTGAAAGTTTACAAATCTCGAGATACGTAATCTCGCTCTGAATTCCTTTCTGGTTGTGTATACGCTTGTGCTCGTACAAATCCAAATTATTTTTTTTTTTTTTCGTCATACAATTAATGAATCATTCGAGGCACGCGTTATATAGTATTCGCAGGAAGGGAACCCATCACCACCCGCGCATTCCTGCACTGTCACTGGCGTTGATGATCTTTCGCTATCCTCGTCTGTGATTTCAGTCGGCCGGACACGGTGGCATCTGGCGGTTAAAAATATATTTCTTCCGTGGACGTTTCGCAGGCGCGCGCGCTTTTTGTTCGGTTGTCTCAGTAAGCGAGGCTATAGTCGCGAATCTGTGCGCTTCGCGAAGTAATTATGCCGGGCGGCAAGTCTAGAGACAGAAATACTTCGCGTACCGAGAGCACGGTGAGAGTTCGCGCCGCAACACCAAGAACCGGCGACGGCGTGTACGTGTATACGTACAATGTCGAGACGTAGACAATAGAAATAGAAAAGCGGCACGATAAACTCGGTATACGTTCTAGAAAAGAGAAAGAGAAAGAGAAAGAAATGTACAAAGAGAAAGAGCAACGGACTCTGTCGGCGAGATTTCTTCGCGCCCGATTGGACGTTTGTTGTACACTGACTGATGGCCACGACTGACAATCGTGACTTATGAGATTACTATTTAGAATGCGTAGTTATGCCGGGAACATATCTTTGCTAAGTACGTGTTAAGCTTATTTTAGCAGGCCTCGCCAAACTGAAGTTTATTTTTCGCGAGATTGTCAAAAGCATTGGAAGTATCCTGTTTTTTCCTTGCCTCTATAAGAGCTTTTAGAGAGACAGTATCTTAAAAAATGTTACGATTAGAAAATTATTTTTGTAAAACGTTTTGACTTTACTTCTTGTCGTTTGAAAGATAGTAAAAATAATTCAATAATAATCTATGTGTAATCCTAAGAATAAATAAATGTCGAATTCTTTATAAAATTCTGAGACACGTTACGAAAGAAAAATTAGACGTTCCTCGACTTTATCTGCGGGGTCATACGGCACGTGATAGACTTCCGATTGTAAAATGGCTCTTCCTCGGCTAGACGGAAAGTGAGTCGCGTCAAAATTCGCATCAAAATCAAATCGCGCGTCGCGATTTATCGTGCTCCGATCTTGCGCTCGTATCGTCAGTGCATAGCACTGCTGACACACGTTCGCGACATGTGCGCTCATGGCAGGCCACAGCACGTGGTCCTCGGCGAGTCCCGATCCGCCGCGACTCGCGATTCGCGCGAGTGCTGCACGTGTGCATGTGCATGTGCACCGAGCGCGACCGCACGTGCTTACACAATCTCAGCGCGCGCGGGACGTATTGCGCGAGTTCGCGCGTCGCAAAAAATGCGCTCGAAGGCGGCATGGATATTAATTGTTACGGCTATTGTAATACGCGCCGCGTTTGTACGCTTCCTCCCACGTTATCAGTCTGCTGACCGTTTCGCTCGGTGCTTTTTTGCACATGCGCATAATAGACTACGATAAGGCGTATCAAACACGACCAGAGAGAGAGGCGCCAGATTAAGTAATTCTGACTCTCTTAAATTCGACGCATAAATTAAGAGCGACGATATTTTTTCTCGTAAAACAAGGATTATTAATTTGTATAAGTATAAATCTATATATTTATATCATTTGTTATTACCTATAAAAAAAGTTTGTATGTATACGCTTTAAATGAAATAAGAAAATATGCGTATACATCCTCAAATACCTCACGAAACGCACGATCAATCTTATATCACACACTATCAATCTTATATAAATATTCTGTTTATTTTCACAAATATTATTTTTGTCTTAGGTTAGGTTAGGTTTTTTTTCTTTAAATAGATTTGATCTGGAAATGAAAAGTTAGCTCATACTGATTGAAACTAACGAAACAATCCCATTAAAATTTCCTGATGCTTTTTTTATATTATTGGCTAAAAAATATATTAAAATATATAATAAAAAATATATTAATATTCTTGTCCAAAATATATTGATTCTTATAGATTAAATCATGGACCAATCTAAATTAATGCATATATTGTTAGATACTGTTTATATTTAATATGTCTCTTGAAGGATTAATCGATCGATTAAGCCACATGTATTGTAACGAAGGATCATATAGATCTTTTTAACGCATAACGCATCACATAAATATTATCTTTATCCTCGCGATACAGTTACAGCAGGCGTCCAAAGTGACAGCCGATGACAGCCACGATATCGCATTATATATTTCATAACTTTATGATATATTGCTCCTATGTTCCGAGAAGATGCATGCGGCATTCTTAGTACTGTAAATCGTTTTCCATTATATGACTAACAAATGTCCGCGTAACGCGCAGTAATAAATCTCTCCCTGTAATTATACACATCACGAGACGATTTTGAACGCAAAGCGACATACGAAGCACGTTTCCGTGGGTTGAAAAGCCGTTTATGTCTAAAAGTCGTTATCTTTGACATGTATACGTAATGCGCACTTTACCTCTGCACATCAATCGTACAGCTTAAAAATGTAAATCGAACACATTAATTAACAGACATTGACGGGTTATCGAAGAAAGTCCTTGACTGTTTTAGAAACTAATACAAATTTTACACTTTCAGTACACACGATATTTCATAAACTTGAAAATTAAAAGACGATTTGGGGAAAGAAATGTTTCAAGAAAAACACGGAAAAATCAGGAATTTAACAGCATTAGTTTCTTCCATCAAACAGATTACTTTCGTTGGAAATGAAGTGCTTTTGCCCGTTAAAGTCTGTATACGGCCCGAAATGCGGTTAAGGTTCATCTCACTCTTCATGACCACCGATAAACGAAACCGCATTCGTTTCTGACCTGACAATCTCGCTCGCATTCGCCAGTAGATAATCAACCAACATAGTTTTCTCTCTTGCTCCCCCTTCCTCTTTCTTTCTTCTTTTTCTTTCTTTCTTCATTCTGCGCATTCTTGATCGAAAATGCGCGTCTCTCGCGCATTTTCGATCAATCGATTAATAAAATCTCGGCAAGCGAAAGACTCGGGTTCGATTCCCGATTCAGCGACTTCGCCCCGTTATTTTTCTCGTCTACATCTCTTCAGGGGGGTAGAGAGGGTTTATAGAATTCTCAAAAATGAGAATCTATATCTTGGTAAATGCACCAAGTAAAACATATGCATATGGCTCGTGCACGTTTAAATTTTCGCGAACAATTAATCTTTAAGAAAAATTTACACATCCGCGGTGGCTCTTATTTGCTAGTTTCTTATCCTGTTGTTTAAATACATATAGAGCCTAATTCTTTTCAATTTAATAAAATCTCGTTTTAATTTCAATGATTATCGCGACACAACAATAATTCCCGCCCGATAATTGCGCTTTATTATTATCTTCGTGTCTGATTATGTAACTGTCCATTCCTTGGTTTGCCGATATCAACAACGACGTTGCCGCCGAATCGGCGGACGATTGGTCGATCGCGCGATTTGGATTTAGATTTGGTAATTTGTAGACGGAAATGAATGGACGAACTTGGGATAGTCCGTGTCTAAATTAACTCCGCGCCAGATGGCAGATAGTTTAGACGTCGCGCCCGCCGGGGACGTCCGGATGACGTAAGGAACAACGTCGCGTCGCCTCATCGCTCGCTCTGATCTTTCACCTGAAGATAGTAGTTTATTCCATTATTCTTTCGCGTCGCCAATAAAAGAAAAATCGATGAACTGCAATAAGTGTGTACGTTCGATAAATAAAATCTGACATTTTAGATAATTTTTTTAATGTGTAAAAAACCAAGTTGTATCATCAAGTGTAAAAATCATTTGAAGACTGACGTTTTTAACGCCAATAATCCTCCCCCCGCCCTTGCTTCCTAGTATACCGCAATCAAGCAATGGCTGTTCACGCTACGAAAAAGAAAAAAAAAACAAAAAAAAAAACAAAAATAGAAAGCAAAAAGATGAAAAAACTCAGCAGTCTCTTGCTTGTGTTGCAGACTGAGGATGTCCTCAAAGAGGAAGTCGCCACCAACGAAGCTATCGGAGGGCGGGGGCGGTGCGGGTACAGTGGCAGGCGCTAACGAGGAGGAGGAAGACACGACCTCGCCGGTGGCCGGTTCCGGTGGTGAGGCAACCGTCGGTGAGGAGGGTGCCGCCACCCCCGTCGACATCGAAGAGTGCTACTCCCATCAGAGAGGCGGCGAGTGTGAGTCGTCCGGCTGTTCGTCACCGGCGACCACCAGCGAGCCGGATCTACGCGACTCGCCGTCGCCCTCGTTGAATTCCCTGCGGACGGCCAAGCGGCAGAGGCTGCTGTTCCTGTCGAGCCAGGACACCCTCGCGCCGTACCACCACCCTCATCATCACCATCACCACCACCATCATCACCATCACCACACGAACACGTCGTCATCGTCGGGCGGTGTATTGGAACCGGCGAGTTCCTCAGAGTGCGGCTCGCCGCCCACCCTCCTCTCCGTCGACTCTTACTATCCTCATCATCCTCATCACAACAATAATAACAATACCGTCACCCAAAACAATAATAACAACAACAATAACGGCAGCGGCACCGCCGCTGCGGGCAGCAAGAGATCCATGGATGACGTTCTCAAAAGGTTAACGTGCAAGATGAACAGTGAGTCTCTGTCTATTCAGGACGATACCACTAATAGCAGGCGAACGTCACCGCCGCTGTCCTCGACACCAACTGGCCACCACAATGCACATAGGTTAGTCCAGGTGATATTATATACTGAGATATAGAGATTCTAGGGCAATATACTGAGATTCTTGTTTCACCCTATTCTTAATTGTTCAAATGAATTAAAAGAAAAAAAAAACATTTTTTATCGCACAGCTTTAAGCAAGAATGAAGGAAGACAAATGTAATATAGCTCTCTCGTTATATTCGGTAAAATATTTGGATATTAATTTACTATTGGATATAAATTTACATTTGTATAACTGTTGAGTTTATTATACATTGTTATACAATTTGTATTAAAAAAATATATATATTTCTCTCTCTCATTCTTATTCCAATAAATACGAAAGAAAATTACTTTTATTTTTAAATTAGAATTTTGGAGTACTTTAATTACTTTTAAATCTTTTAATCGTAAAAAAGAAGTTCAAATTATTTTACGACTCGCGACCTTCTTCTTCCATTTAATATTGGTCCAACTTTTATTAACATAGTTAAGAAATATTCGAATGATAGAAAATGATAGAGCATGTTACTTTTAAAAACTTCTTTCTATTTTCCCGGTTGTTCAGTTTCCAACGATTAATGTAATTCATGCGACGTATCTCGATAAGCGTCTCTTACGCAACTTAGTATATGCCATGTTAATTATATTCGATACTTGTTCGATCGACATTGTAACAGTGCACTATTCTGTTGCAATATCATAATGCGCCACCATGTCGCCGAGGTTATCATATCTCTCCCACTTTACATAACTGATTAACATAATATAACGGCAAATCTCAGAAGCAAATGTGGCTTTTTGCAAGCGAGCTACAATTTTTACTTTCGACTAATGTAATTGCTACCAATTATATAATCGAATAATGTAGATATTCATTTAAGTTTTTAATTCACTATAATCTTGATTTTAACAAAGAAAATATATTTGCAAATGCAATTATATAAATTAGTTTATAAAACAACTTTACATTATATTACTGCTTTACATACAATGTCATCTTTATGATTTAATAAGAATATTTGGAACATAGTAATTGAGTACATTTGTTGAGTACATTTCGATTTTTAATCAAATATATTTAAATAAAAAAACTGTATATTTTTGTGTGTGCATTAAAAATATAAATTAAAATCTCTCGGATTAAAAGTTGCATATTTAAGTAATACTTTGAAGAAAAAAAAGAATTGTTGAATTTAGTTTTAATATTTGAATATAACTTACAATAATGTTTCACATTCTCCATCCTATGATATTATTGCCGGAAATTAGAACGGCTATAATTTTATTTTCTGAAAGAAAAGACCACTGTGTCGGTTCTTGCTTCAACATTCTCAAGGCCTGGTATCTTGAATACGGTAACGTGCAACTAACGATCGGGCGGGTCCTAAAAGGGACTATTGTCCCGAAACCATAAGGCCAATCTAGCGGTCTTTTGAAATTGATCTCTATTGCCATACATTCAGTTGACAATGACCAGTAACTCCAACCAGTAAGTGAACAAAAAACAGCATAACGTCAGCGATAAAACAGTTCAAAATGATTATTATCAAATGAAAAATGAAAGTGATCAATTTTCAATTTTTATGCTTTGAGCTTAATGAAAACTATTGTACACTGTCTCTACAATTCATGAACAATTAATCTTTTTAGAATATTTTTAATATATTTTCCATCGACGCGTATGATATATTTTTTATCGATGATTCTACAATATGTTTAAACATTATGCGGATTAAATATCTTGGAAAAATTTACAATATGTATGCAGGTGCACGCATATTTTGCATTTTAACGATCATTTTACATCAATAATAACTCTAGATAATCGGTTTGAATTGATTCGTTATGTTGACTTATTGATAATGTCAGACAATTTTTTTTAATTTTAAGTGAACAAATCAATCACACATCAATCACAATGTACAAAGTCGAGAATATAGAGTCGAGAATATAGAGTAAATTGTTTGCGCGTGACTAATTGCGATCATTATATTGCGTCATAAACGATGGCATGATAGTATTATGATAGTGAATTATAACATTATACTTTTACATTTGCTATTATTCCGCATTATTATTGCAACGCATGTATTATACATTGTAGAGGTTTGAATTAGCTGTTTTAATAAAGCATTTACGCCAATCGTTTGTGACATAATCGCGATCAAATTGTATTACATACATCCATGTTATTTTTCCTCAATCAGGATTGTCATTATTCACACAAAAAGTTCACATATCTAGTTCGCTGTTACGACAGCAGGTTCGCGTGGAATAATACCTGGCAAAATTACACGGAGAATAAATAACAATAGAATAGCAGAATCATCTTTGCAAAAAGTATCGGACTAGATAATATGCAACGCGGCACGTCTTATGTTGACACGAAGTCATTGAAAGCAAACGAGTGAACTTGGCAACGTGGAAAAGCGATAGCACAAGAATTGTGCCAGTCTGCTGCCCACAACCGAGCAGAGAAACGGCGGGCCAAAATTCTTCAAAAATTCAGCCAACAGTACAACGTGCACTTACGTTGACGTTCACCTTCTTTTTGGAGCACGTTCAATCTGACTTTGCGTACATCGAAATAACACGAGTGATTTAAAAATAAACGGCCAATACTCACGATGTTATTATCATGACACATAATTGTATCCGTATAGTATACATGATATACGTATAATATCAAATCAACTCTTGATTAATATTCGACATTAATTTTCATTTTATTGTCTAACAATAAACTAGATATGAATCTCTGACAAATATCAATTTTCTTTTTCGCGAAGCTAATTTAGATGTCGAGAAGTAAGACTAAGATATAGCTCGACGATGCGTTCAATTCGTACAAATTTGCGCATTTGCAACATATTTAGCGGAACGTACAAACAACTGCAACAACATTGTTACATAAAACGTCTCGTACATCGTATATGCATCACTGACGTATCGCGCGCGCGAATCGTATTATGAACACGCACGAGCAACATTCGGAGATACGAGTGAGTAACAAGTAAAGTTATAGGGTGGACGAAAATATCGAGCATGTACATTAGCTCTCGGCTATTCTAAATATAGCCGGCTATTGGATAAAAACTCGTGGAGTAACCATTATGGAAATCGCATTATAGACCGGCGATAACTTCGAGATACATAAAAACTGATATTTTTGGTAACGAAGAGATCGACGACGTGTCGGTAAAAACTTTCATCGGCAGTGAGCTTAATAGCGTAATGCTATTAAGGCGCGGATAACCGACCAAGGTATAAAAATCTAGAATCTTTTTTTTTAGAAGTTAGAAACACAATAAATGTATTATTACATCTATTGAGAATTTAATCGAAATAGGAAGGCTTTTTATTTATTTTTTACTTTAAATAAAAATCGTGGCAAAAACAGAAATAAAATATAAACAGATAATTTATTAATTTACACATATCGTAGGATGATTGATTGCATCAACTGATTCTTGCATCAAACATATAATTATCGACAGTCATATTTAATGATCAATTGGAGTTTTGATAAAGTAGTACTATAAATCGAATGAGTTTCTCATCAAGATCTCACGTGTGAGTCCTTGCGGGGAATGAGGTGCGAAAATTCTTTATTCTTATTGATCTCATCTATGATCCATATGCCATTAATTTATCATACATTCCGTGTCCGTTAGTCTGCGTATATACATAAGAGCGGATTGTGTACGTAGAATGTAACACAAAAGAGATGAGGCGATCATTTATCTTGGCACGCTCATGAAATTAAACCCTTCAAATGTCTTAATATATGATAATAATAACAAGGAGAAAGCTCTTTTTATTTTTAAAACCACTAACACAAACAAAATCCGAGTTGTATTATCATGATCAGACTGAAAAAAGTTCGTGTGGAATTAAAGTTTTCCGTGGAAGCCGGATGCGCGTATTCGTTGACTGTCCATTGCACAAAATAGAGAGAACAGAGAAGAGAAAAAAAGATTTAAATGCTCAAGAAATATTTAAATATTACAATTTAATTAGTTTTATGTAGGATTGTCTTTCAAATTAAATTAAGTTAATATTTTATTATATATATTTTTCTATCTTAATACCGTGACATTAATCATCGGAGGAAAAATTTATTAATATACATGACGAATTTGATATTTAATATATTAAAACATCATATTTTAATTATTTAAATAAAACGCAAGTCCTAGTCTGGAGAAATTCAGGCAACATTTATTGAAAATCGGAAAACATTAGTTGACCAAAAATCTTTGTTGATTGTTGTGAATAAAGAAAAAATATATATCAGATTTTCCTGGAAATGGATGACTTAAACACTTGCTTTGTATCAGGTATATTGTATAACTTTAATCATTGATCCTTGCCACGAGAATAATCATGCTAAAGCCCGCTGGAGATGCTGGCCTATATTTTTCGCAGCGCAAACTTTCTCGTTGTCAACATGGTTAACCCTCGTCCACCTCCTCGTTCGCGCAGTCTTTGTCCGACTTGTGGTCTCCTAAGCGCCGCACAATAGGCCTGTATCACTTATTCGCGGACCATTTTCTCCGACATAAAAGCGCAGAGGCTCGAGGCTGGTTCCAGGCGAGCGCTCGAAGGCCGGGATGCGAACGGAAGAACGGGGAGGAGGGGGATTGATGGCACCGGGATATCCCATCACGGACGCAAACACTCGCCCTGTCGAGATTGCGCGGCCGCGACTCATCTATTATTCACCTGGCTTCTAGCATCGCGTACGCGACCATCACCATCCGGTTCTGTCTTAATATTGAAAGCCATTTCCTTCTCGTTCTCTCTCTCTCACGTGACGGTCTAGAAACATCTTTTACACGTCAGCGAATATTTCTAATCGATATCTATTTTGGATTTTCTCTTTTATATTAGAAAAAAATATAATAAATATAATAATTATTAATAATATATAGAGAACATTTTTTTAAATATATTAAGTCAGTTCTTATATTGATTAAAATATATACATAGGCGGAAAGATTTTTGCCTTACTGGCTTCTACCTATTTATTTTAGTAGTTCCAAATACAGATTTTTTTCATTTGTTTGGATAATACTTAATACTTGATTACTTATGTTACTATCATTAGAATAATTTTTTAATTCTCATAATGTTCGAAATAGAAAAAAGTCATTAGAATTTTATTACAATCAGATTCACATATTTTTTGAAAATTAATATAAGTATTTCATTGAATTCAGAAATAACCTTCCTTTAAAACATTCTCGACTTTTCTGTTGGTAACTCAATCGCTCTCTTTTTTTGTAAGAAACATATATAAACACTCTATCAAAACAAAATCAACCGTCAATAGAATAAACGCAACTGGTATGCGCGACCGCGCTACGCAATCGGCTGATCGCCAATCAGCTGATTGAAAATCATATCGCGCAACTTCAAAATTTGAAACGTCAGATCTCATTGGCAGCTTATCATACGCGCCGCCCTGAGATCACCGCTAAATTTCAAATTTATTGGACCACGTGGAAAAGAACCTCCGCGAAATCGCGCTTAATAAAAGGGGGATGAAAATCCATTCACTAATCGCACTCATACTCTCAGTCTCACGGTTTTAGTTACACCACTAGAGAATCTTGGTAAAACCGCTTAATTCTTTTCGACGCCTCTCATTCATTTGTGCACAGATTCTCTCATACTTATTTTATATTGGAATTTGTGACTTCTTTAATAAACTTATTTCTACACAATTAATACTATGTGACTAAGACTTTATTCGCGTACACATTTCCTCAACATTTGCCGCTGTTGCGGTATACCGCTGTCTCTCGCGAACACGTAATCTTTTTGTATATTTCTTATACTTATTTTGCAATCGCACTTTTTAAACGCTTAAGAAAATATTATCTCAGAACGCCAAATATAAATATATTGCCTTCTCTATCTTTTTGATCGAACAAAATTAACCATGATTCAAATGCATGTACATTACAGCGGAGTCCCAACATCCGTGGCAAATAACGTAGCACTTTCGTCCCCGGATGCCGGAAGGATAGCAAACACGGAGGCACAGGTACAACAAGACGGCGTAGCGGCCCTTCATAGGGTCCTGTGCGCCGAGAGTTTTGCTGAGAAGGAACGCCGATTATCGGAGATGATCCTGCAGCTACAATTAATCAGGGAGCAACTGCTACAACAGCAGGATCAGTCAAAGGTAAGCAAACTTTATGATATATAGAAGACGTAATCGAATCATATTTATAAATACCGGATTATTATAAGATTATACTGAGTGTCCCAAAAAATTTATCGCGCTACTTTTTTCTACGAATATTTTTTAAAACATTATTTTTAATAAAAATGTTGAAGTATGCCAAGATATATCGAGTTATAATTAAAATGAATATTTACAAATTTTCACGGATTAAGCTACAAGAGGACTTTAAAAACTAATAAGGTTATATATTTCTATTTATTGCGGAATGTAATCAAATAGGAAGTAATGATCGAATGATAGAAGTTGTCGCAACGTACATTATGATACAATTGTGACAGGTGCGCCAATCAACGTTACATCACGTCATGCGAGATATCGTTTACGATTAATAAGGAAAAAAAATAGAACGCGTGCCGTACGCGGCTATAACGGTGACGAAATAGAGAACGATGGATCGAGCTGTGTCTCAATACAAATCGTTAGCTAGCGCATGTTGATTGACGAGGGAAAGTGCATCGATTACTGTGGAATCGTAATTACGCGGTTGAATCGCGGTCGTACAGGTATCACGAGCAACGGCAGAAAAATGAGAAACCCGAGTTTCCTCGAGACGCGATGCGATCGGTAAATGCCGTTACTACTTTAACGTTTTTTCCCGTTTAAAAGGATGCGCGATGAAGCGAAGTATGACCACCTCGCGACTTCTAGAGAATCATCGAATAATTCATAATGTTCGCTAATGCACGATGCTGTGCCTTTCTCTACAAACAACTTAAAAATTTTACGTGCGTTTCTTCCCGCGTCATTGGAATGTCGGGCCGTATTCTTCCGCTTAAAAGCATCCCTGCGATGTTCCTGACAATAACGTCAAGACCTCCTTCTTTCTCTCTTTCTCTCTCCCTGCGATATTACCGTACTAATAGCGGCGAGTCCGTTGCACCTTCGCGAGTAACAGTACACCTTTGATGCGTCTGCATCACGCTAGAATGCAATTCGCGATCGCGCCATCGGACACAAGCGTTGCGGCACAATGGGATCTCATTGAAATCGCTCCGGTCTGCGTATCGGATTCGATAACCGCATCGAGATTAGTATCGTCTTCGCGGCGATGACTCGATACTCTTCGCGCGATCTCAAAAAGCGTGGGTCATCGCGTGGCTGCGGCGAAACACAACAGCCGCAACCACGCCGCTGTCTCCGTCGCCGCTCCAAGGAATCGCGGGAGACCGGAGGAACCTGTCTGCCCGCAAAAATGCGAGCGCGTGCAGATAATGCCCAACGTGTATTACCGTTATTATGCCAGTCATTTACGTGCTGCGGAAAAGATGTTTCTTCCACGATGTCCCGCTAAATTCGCCCGCCGGCGAAATTCTACGAATGCATTCCTGTAAATATCCGTCATGTGCGCGCGGCAGGTAAAGAGGCCCACATACTTGTACATTAATATACGGAATTCGGGAGCGGTAACAACATCCGTGGAGCGTAAACAACAGATATTATTGCGATTTTGCAGACGGCCCAACATACATGTCACGATTCATGAGGAAGACAGATCGATGACACGTGTATTATATTTATGTGTATACAAGAGAAATGAAGATGTACACAACAATAAAATTAAAAATGCGTGGATTTTTTTCCCGACAGACTGGCTATTATATTGATATATGAATCAAGAATTCTTTGGAATTTTTTCAAAATAAAAAGATTAATGATACGATAATAAATTTCTTTTGTACTAGCAAATTATTCTACCAAAAAAAATAAAGTAATTTTTTAATTAGAGATAGATTAATTACAAAAGTTAATAAATCTAATATATTCAACATTAAAATTCTTATTTTTATGAATTTTTTGTGTAGTTATTATAAAATTTTCATGTTATAATCACTAAAAAAAGTTAAATTCGATATAAAATAATATACGATTTTGAGATTAAATTTATTCTACAAGATAAATCTTTATTTTAACTTATACACAAATTTATTAATTTTATATTTATTTATTAGTTTTTTTTATTTTAAAAGGCTAAAACTGCTTTGCACAATGTTAAAAATTCATGAATCTTAAAATATATTAGATTTATTAATTTTTGACGTAGTAATTGATCCGGTTCTTCTTTAATAAAATTTGATAAAATTTAGTTCTCTTGTAAAATGTTTTTTTGAGTTATTTTAAACATGCTTGGTCACAATATATTATACATTTAACACCATAATTTTTTTAAAAGAGCAAATTCTTGTAAAAGAGAAAATATTTATGAGAATCTAAAATGTATCAATATTCCATTTTTATAGAATCTACGATCAATAATTGAAATTATTTCAATTATATTTGCTATAGTTAATATAGCTTATGTAAGAACATCGTTATAGATAATTAAACACGCAAGAAAAAAAGTAAGGAAGATAACGGAATCATTACGATCATCTGCAATTACACTAATAATTGAAATCCGCAATCGAGAGATGCATTTTAATGATATGAAAGAGGAAAGCTAAAGGAAGATCGAGAAAGAACTTTTATCCGTGTGAAAAACAATCAATATTCTGATAATGAGGTTTCCCTTTTCACATTTTCTTGTGATTGATATATTTTGATTATTATACAACAGATTGAATTAAAAATTTTTAATATCCGGAAAAGATTTCCGAGTGAATTTGCAATTTGTCTATTCATATAATAATCAACTAATATATCTAATTATACGATAATTAAAATATATTGATTATGTCGGGATCGACCATTAAACGTAGATAGATTTGTAAAAGATATTATTCGGATGAAAGATCGACTTGATCAATCTTAACAAGAATGTCTTAGACGAATCCATGGTGGAGAACATTCTTTCGTCCGCCATTTCATCGGCGCGGAGTGAAAATGCGTTTGTGTCGGCGGCGTTTGCGCGCCAGGCGCCTCGAGTTAGTCGACGTTAAAGCGGAAGTGCATCGGAGGCACTGTGGACAAGCGTAAAGCGGAGGGAAGAGGGACAAGAGAGGTGGGAAGGAAAGAAGAGATGCGGAGGCGGCAGGGACGGGCAGGAGAAGCTTAGGAACGAGCGTGCGAGATAGAAGCGAAAAAGAGGGAGAGGTAGATAGACAAATAGAGTAAAAAGGTGATAGAAGAGAGATAGAGAGACCACGAGAAAACGTAGGAGGAAGGCGGTAGTCTCGATGTTCTCCTCCTCTTGGATCGCGGAGGGCGTATAGTAATGTTCGAGTTGGCAGACTCGGGGTCGAGTGGGGATCTCCCTCTCCCCCTCGCTCTCTCTTTCTCTCTCTTTCTCGTCCTCTCCTCCCGGTGTGTCTCTCCGTTACCTTTCCACCTGTTATGCGACGCCGTGCTACGTTGGCACAGGTGTGCGCGATCGCGTAGCCAGCGACAGAACCCACACGCTCTCTTCAGTCTCCTCAGGTTCTAGTCTCCCTCTTTGCCGCCTTTCTCTTCTACTTTTTTGTACTTTATGCGTGTTAGTCTCTCTCTTCCTCCCATATATGTATACATATATGCATATATATACATATATACATGTCTCCTTTTATTCGACGCGTCTTGTTTTCTGGCGAACAAGGAGACCGATCGCGCGTGGGCGGCGAGGATCCTGTTCCCCTCTATCCTGAGGCACTTTCACAATCCTACCTGTGCGTCTGGTTGCACCTGCAACAGCAGCAGGGATATACTGTCACGCCCAGTAGTTTGATCGCAGTCGATTTGCTGTACCGCGAACTTTCTCCCCTCGGACGCATTCTTTTACGTCGAAGAAGGTGGTAGTTTGGGTTGCGTTTTCGCGTAATCCACGTGTGTCGGCATTTTGCTACTTATCGACAAAATACATTTTCATTAAACGAGCGATAATGAACGATAAATGATGCGTATATCTGTATATAAGAGCCACTCGCGAATGAAAACAATAGTTTTTATTTCACCTGGTTAAAAATATTTGTGAGTAGCAGTCTCTTTTTGAGAACGAAATTTATCCTTCTGCGGGTGTACGCAGAAAGCAAATTATCTCCTCTGGCGTATATTTCTCTGAAATAAATTTTCGTTTCTCATAAATTACCAACCTGCCAAACACGCGACGCAGCTGCGCGTAAAATTAGTACATTAATATATTTCACTGTACTACCTTTATACGTTTTAATCAGGATTATGTGGTTGGCGTGTACTGTCAATGAAATATTCACGTTAAATTCGTGCGAAAATCTTTGTGATTTGAAAAAAAAAAATGTTTGCAAATTTTATTTCTCAATCTTAACAGTTTGTTTATCAAAAGTGATTTGTCCTTTTTCGAAAACTTGACCACATTTAATTTTGAATTCTCTTACGCAGCAATTTACGTGCATTTTTATATGCAGATAAGAGTGTATTTAGCGAATTAATTATGTATTTACTTGATAAAAACAAAGTATTCTTTAAAAATTCAAGGAGGATCAGTGACGATAACATATAATCGTGCCGATTAAAAAGGGCGTGTGCATAGGATGATTAATGATATAATTGTATTGGGAACATATTCTCGTGTTATACATATATATATCTCATTAGGATATAGAAAAATGTATAATTATGTAAATGTGGACTTGTAATTATTATCTACGCCAACGATTCTAGACCGTGACATAAAGCAACATGTTTGTTAAATTCATTCAACCCGAGACTCGTCCGACCGAACAATCTATCGAGGACAATATTACATAAATGTGTAACAGTGAACAAAGTCCACCGATAAATGGGCGTTTTTTTTTTTAATCGCGATATAATTTTAGAGAAAATCATATGTAGTGATATACAGTAACCTGTATTGTAAGATATTCATGTACGCGTACTGTAAAGATATGCATGTATATATTCATGTATATTTATATATACACACCCACGCATATTTCAATTAACAACAATATCGTTATTACGCGCGACAACATGGTCTACAAAGGCGGGGCAAAGCTATACGCGCAGGAGTATCTCGTTTCGCGCATCAAGAGCGACGGGGGTGACGG